ACTCGAGCGCTACGCAAAAAAATTCTACATTGAATATACCGAAGACTAGTACGTACGTCCGCTCTAATTTCTTCCTGGTCAGATACAGCTGTCTGTGGAATAAATTACCAACAACACTCAGGTCATGTGACAATATGGCAACATTTAATAGCAGACACGCTAATTACCTTGATCTAACTACCCTAAGCTCCATATTCACATGGGAAAAATCCCTTGATGAGCTATTCTAAGAGGGGCCCAGAAACATCTAAACACCAATGTTTTCATAACTAAATTTTGACCTCAACCATGCGGCAGAATGTTACTACATGAAACGCATATCCCAATAATCCACCTATGCAAGAGCATGGATTCTTTCGTACAAATTGATCTGTCCCGCTATAGACACAGTTTCTCTCATTAAGAGAAATATACGTATTATTATTAGTATTATTATAGTCAAACTGGTAACAAGCAATGCTGTCCGCCAGTTTGTCTAGCTGCGGACGCACCGCTGCACAACCAGGAGTTAGATTTCGGCAAGATCCTCCGAACTGCTGGATCGTCGACGGGTTGCGCTCTCCGGTGCGGAGCACAATGAAATTCATGGGTCTATCCTTCAACAGCTGAAGTCAAGCTTCCGTTGTAAAAGTGACTCCTGATGGTCAACACGAGCTGCTGAGATGGAAGCCGCTGCATCGGCCGAAAACGTCCGCAGTTTAGTTTGCCTCATCAACACCACTGATAGCAATTCACAAGCTGTCAGTCAGACGGCACGAAAATCACCAAGCTGCACAGGCGCCTGGGTCGCTGGGCAGAGCACTTTGCTTTCCAATTTAACTGCCCAGCACAACCCACTGTGACACCTCCGTTTCCCTCGGATGCTGTTTAGCCTATCACCAAAGATGCTCCTATCGAAACAGAGATCCGAAGCGCAATCCAATCTTTGAAGCGTCATAAAGCTCCCGGTCTTGACAGCATACCTCCGGCTAGATTCAAAGATGGTGAGAACGCACTTGTCAACGAAATACCATCATTGTTCAAAAGAATTTGGACTGACGAGAAAGTCCCAATTGCATGGGGCAAGTCGCACATAGTCCCGATTCACAACAAAGGCTCCCGTGACGACTGTGCCAATTACCGCGGATTCTTCAAGTCCAACCTTGAATTGGTTGATCTATGTTGCGTCCAAGATATTTTTGTCTGTTCTGCTCCGCAGGCTCTCAGTGACTAAAGAAGGCATTTCCCGCGAGGAACAAGCGGGTTGCCGTCCAGGTCGAGGTTGCACTGATCATATCTTCACACTCCACCGACTTCTTGAACTCCGTCAGGTCCACCGACGGCCAACAATCGTAGTGTTCTTCGACAACCGAGCGGCTTTTGACGCAGCAGACGGACTTGTGTTGTGGAACGGTCTACTAAAAGAAGGTGCACCGGACAGGTTGGTAACCATCCTGAAGGACCTCTACAGTCATACTTCGGGCAAAAGCAGGGCTTACGGTACAATTTCCACATCGTTTGCTGTCACCAAGACTTGCGCCAAAGTTACCCCATCTCACCTTTCCTCTTCTATTTTGTCATTGATGTCGTCCAACGAGCATTGGAAGGCCGTTAAAACTGTGTTATTGAGCTTCCCCCAGGTGACATAGTCGCGGACTTGAACTACACTAATGATATCGCTTGGCTTGTGACGATCCACAAGCCGCCCAGACCGCTTTGAACCGCTTAGCGATGGACGAACCTAAGTATGGCCTGTATTTCAACCGAGGCAGGTGTAAAATACTAATCCAGGATTGGAAGATGCCGGTGGCCGCCATCATCATTGCTGGTGACGTCCTCGGACAAGTCCTCTGCATCACTTATCTAGGGAGTTGCATCACAGCTGGCGGCTGCATTGGAGATGAAGTCTCACAACGGATCGCAAAGGCTCACGTTGCATTCACCAGACGGAGACACTTATGGCGCCGTCATGACGTTAGCCCCAAACTCAAGCTCAGAGTATACACTGCTTCTGTCCATGCGGTTCTCTATCATAGCCGTGAGATCTGGTCGACTCACTCAGTAGACATAAAACGATTATCAGTTTTCGACAATCGGTGTCTGCGGAGAATTGCTCGCATGTGGTGGTAGCATCGGGTGAGTAACGCAGAAGTCTGAGAGCGGGTATTTGAAGTAAAAAGCTCATTCCTCCAAAGCGTTATTCGCCGATACAGCATGCGTTGGCTCGGCCACATATTGTACATGCCAGCCTATTGCCTTCCCCGTCGAGCATTATTTGCGCTCCCAAAAAGCGATTGGAAAAAGTGTCGAGGTGGACAACAAATGATGTGGAAAAGGTTCATGAAGAAGGCAACCGCAAGCTTTGCATCCGGTCCGCCTTCCAGGATGGGGACCAAGTAATTAAGACTGCCAGTTGTTAGAAATGTTAGAGGCTAAGGTGGGCAACAGGCATTAGTGACAACAGTGCTGTTCAACCGCGTTATCTAATAGTTAACGTATCATAGAACAAAGCTCAAAAACACACAAAAATATCTCAAAACGAGTGTAAAAACGAAAAAATCGTTCGTTGCTGTTGTAGTTTCTTTTCCCACTTTATTTCGCCATAGTTCTGATGGCACATTGTTTGTAATATATATATATATATATATATATATATATATATATATATATATATATATATATACTGAGGCTGATGTCGCATTCAAGATGCTTCTTCACCGCAGTTGGACTAAACCAACTTAAACTAGGTCTTTTTAAACTGGATAATTTCCACACCAACTTTAATTGGTTTGTTCTGCTTATCTGAATAATCTGCTATTAACTGGCCACGTTGTTTACGATAACTGTGGTTAGCTTCGTTAACTTTATTGCGTTTGTAGCATTAGTTGTGTAACCTCTGGACATGTTGTACTTATCGCGGATTCGTTGTTAATCAGCTTACTTCCTATGCTAATTTAGGGAAGAGCTATGCCTGCATAACCGTATTCTTTAACTTATATATTTTATTTTATGATGTGAATGGCTGTTGTTTGACATCCCCGGTGTGGCTGCGCTTGATGTGCGTGCTGACAAGGTGCCTACTTCTCTATCACCCACTACCTCGTCTATACTTGCTCCAGGAGACAGTTGGTCGTTGCGGCAGAGGACGGGGCGCACAGTCCTTGTGGCCGTGCAAGGCTCAAAGAGCGGTCCCATGCACTCAGTATAGAGCGGAATACGGTCCAGCTACCGCCTTGTGTGCCATTGATTCCCAAATACAGCGTACGTGTGTTTGCCTGTGAAGGAATGTGGACCGGCTCCATTGAAGAAACGTGGCTCCCATCCACATGCCTCCTGGTCTTATTCCTTTGGGTTTACACTGGATATGGGGTGTGTGGTTGGAGCTGTGGGTGGTACAGCGCAACCCACTCATGGTCCCTTTGTAGGCGTAGGCCTCTTTTGGCTGGCCACAGTGACAGGCAAATCCGAAACCGGATGCTGCCAACCATGTGCATTGTATACCAGGCTTCAGTAAACTCATGTGCTTGTGGCTCTTCCGAGGACTTTGACATGCTGCAGGTGGAACTGGTGGACTTCGGCATCCAAATGCACGGACTTCAAAGAGTTCTTATCATGACCGCGGATGGCTAAGCTATGTTTCTATAGCCGTGTGTCAAGCTTTCTTCTTGTTTGTCTTACGTAGTATTTGGCACAGTCTCGGTAGCATATCTTGTAGATTACACTAGATGTTTCCCCTGCTAAGTTTATATTTCACTCTGAAGAGTTTATTTCGAATTGGTTCTGCTGGTCGGTGGGCAATTTTAACTCCCAATAGCAACAACAGTCTCGTAGCCAGTTCGGAAATTACCTCGATGTAGGGCAATACGGCTCGCTTTTCAGCCGTTGCATCTGTTGAGGGGTGTTATGTTGCTTTATGTGGAGCTAAGCAGCGTAGAATGAAGCCTTTTGGGTACGAATTCCGTTTGAACAGAACGCAAAGATGGTCTTTCTCCGCCTGCCTCGGCTGTCATCACACATGAAGACCCGCACCTAATGCCTTCAGAGAATCGAAAACCGGACTAAGCCAAATGCAGTGCTATTACAGTCAAAGAATAAGAACTTGGATAACTGCGTCAGATACACAGTAGGTCCAATCTCATTACCATATTTGTAACAACAAGGCAGCATAAGAAAACTAATTGTCTTAAAACAATTCTGTAGCCTGCGTACTACGTAGACTCACACTGGTCGAGGAATTGTCACTTAGTCGGTAACCAGTGTACGCGGGTGATGGAAAAAGAATACAGTCACATCGGAGGTTGAAACACAAATATCAAGAACGAAATGCACTTGAGACGGCTGGGGAAAAGACAGGGCTATCACGAGGTAGGGCACTTTATGTCGTGTGACACGAGATCGCAGTATTAGGAACAACGAAGAGAACGCGGAACGAAAAGACATACCAAGTGTTCATTAGAACGAGAGTGGGGTTTGTGAGAAAGGAGGGTTTAATGGAAATATCCAACCAAATTGAACAAACTGATTCGAGTAACAGACCAAGTAGCCAATCGGAAGCGAAATCGACAGTCTCGAACACTTAACGCATCAGGCGTAGCCGCTTACCTACAGAGTTTGCATGATTGATCGACGCTTGGTTGTACTACAATGAGTTTCCCGTTGTTTGTTTAGCAAAAACAAAAAAACTTCAGTACAGAACAACGTGATTATCAATCAGTGCGGCCGAAAAACGTGTGTAGGTCAAAATTGTCGTCAGTTTTGCTAATTATTCTTCACCGAAAAAAACTGTTTGTTATTGAAAGATCAAGCTTCGCGACTTTTAGGACCAAAAAGAGCGCTCTTGGAAAGGTGCATCAATATGACACATTAACACTATGTTTATCTCCCACAATCGAATGCTTGGTATAATGGCCAACCGAACTCGTCATGTGCATCTAATTGATTAGAGTAATAAGTGGGACACAAACAGATCACCGGTAGAGATTGTGACTCAGTTGCCGGTATTATTCGTGCTCGTATTCGAGATATAGGCAAATCAATTCATAGTGATAGCCTGTTCCCGATGTTTTCCGTAAGCAATAGAGAGCACAAACAGAATCAATTTGGCACGTGAAGAAAGACACAATATTGTTGAAGTAAAAACATGGTGGGATAGAACGACATGAATATCGAAACCGGTGCGCAATGGAAGTAGGTTGCTTGAGTCAAGAGGTAAACGGCGATGAATGAGCCGCGGAGGACAAGCGAGACAAAGTATGCTTGAACAAAAGGATAGCAAACAAAAATGCGTTGCCGATCGAATTGTCAAGCGAAGGAGAAGAAAGCACAAGCTTACGCAGGTTAACTAAATAATGGCGTCGCATTAAAAACGAGGTGAGAATATGAGCAAGGTAATGGGGTGGGACAGAGAAGGAGAAATCCGTCCAAGGCATTTTGTCAGTGATCAAATCAAGCCGGATCTGTATGAGTTGTTTCCAGACCCTTTCCGGTAAACTTTGTTTTAAATTGTTCTGGAACCGGGTATTCCTCCTACAAGGAGAGGGGAGAGTGAATTGTATCAACATGAATGTTACCAACAAGTGGCCTAATTTACAATAGGATAACAATGCACGAAATGGCATGGACATCGGGGGTTTGGAAAACCAGGGGAGCTGCTACTGTGCGTCAACTGAGGGCTCAACGATATTGGAGTCTGCTGCTCAGAGAGCGTGTTTACGTGCCCAACCAGTGTTCATGCGTTAATCTTAACAGGAATGAAGTGCCGCGAGATGCCTATGTCAATAATATACAGGTTTAAAGAGAACAGCATATATAAGATGCATTTCTGTGACATGACTCGCTGATGTGGGTATGGAGCAAAAAGAGTAATTGATTATCGTAGGTTGCGCTTTAATTCATATAAGGTCGGTATGCTCACATTTCATGTTTAGCAGGTGAAAATCGCACAGTCGGTAATAATAAATAGAGGATTAGATTATAGATTGATCCGATAAGCTGGTAAAATCACTTAAGTCACAGCATGCTAGATGGTGAAGACACGCGGCAGAAAACCTGCAGCGAGCTCAAGCCGATTCCCGAGGCATGAGTAATGCAATCATTTAGATACCGTTCGTTTCGTTTCTCGCCGAAAAGTATCACATGATGCGTCGTAGCGTTGTCCGATATTTACAAGTGCGTTTAGTCAACCAGGTGAAAGCTGTTAGCAAGAAGATCGCAGGCGATCTGAAAATTTTTCGACAATCGGACACACTGTGGTAAATGTGGCGTCAATTGAGGAGGTGTGTTTGACTTTAAAACTAGCGTACAAGTTTCGCCTGATCAGAGATAGTAACAAGTCGCAGGCTCATCCAATGATTATCTGCTGCAAAACATGAAGCGCATCACTTGACATGATGAGACGACTAGACGATGACGGTTCAAAAGAAGCTGGTATTCGTTAAGCCGCCATTGAAAGTTGACGTCATGAAAACTATGGGGAAACGGAAAAGTGATTCAATGAAATGGGGTTACTCGTGTCGATGAGGTAATTGATTGTGACAGCAACGAAGACACCGACGTCTATGCAGCGCACATGCTGATAGTTTACATATATATATATATATATATATATATATATATATATATATATATACATATATATATGAAGGCGGCAGATGATCAATTTGTAGACTTATCGACCGTCACATAGAAGAGAAGTTCCACATGTTTTTTGTATCGCTATCATTACCAAGGTTCCATTCGTGTACTGACGCTACAACACTATGTGGAGAATAATGTTTTGGTCAGTCATGCGAAAAGACGTAGCTACATACATTTGGAGTTGCCCAAAGTGTCAAACAGGATGCCAGAAGGATACCCCGAGATTACCAATACGATCTATTGAAGTCAACGCACTGTTGCAGTGTTGGGGATTGGACGTCTTTGGACCTCTACTAATGATTCGTTCAGGAAACTGTTACATTTTGGTGATGACTGACCATTTCAGATCACAAATAAAACAGGGACGACCGTTGCACGGGCATTGGAATTTAAGGTTTCAGTTAGGCATGGAAAACCAAAATATGAGATTGCGTGTCGCAATCCAAGACACAAGGCGGGTGCTCCAAAACCCGAAAATCTATTTCTAACCGCTGTGTCAAACACTGCTCACGGAACTCAATGGTCTAGTGATCATGGCGATATCCGCCAAACACTATGCGCCGAGTTCCACTGCCAGCTCGGCTATCTCTACCTGATGAGTCTAAACAAAGATGAAATCGTCGGTCGCAGAGTGTAAGGATGGGAGAGAACCACACCGACATCCTCCCATACCAAAATATGTTATCACGGACCTTAGTTTAGGGCGTTCCAGGCGCCACAGACGACGTACGCGTCACAGTACCACCCGTAAACCAACGGAATAACAAAGCAGTTTAATCGAACCAAGAAAGCATAGAGAAACAGTATGAAGTTGGTGTGGGTGGAAAGCTTCGCCTATAGTTCTGGTCGGGTATCGAACCAACACGCAGTCGAATTTTCCCCATTTGAAGTATAGATCAGTAGAGAACAACAGAATTGTAAGTAGCAGGGGGATTTATTAGGTTTTTTGTGTAGATTCGTCGCAGTTAGACACAGACAGACAGCCACCACACATCCAGGAAAGCGCTAGACGGCCGTTTCGTCCTATTGGGACTCGTCAGCAGCGCGCACCCGCCGAATCCTGCCGGATTCGAACCCACGACCTTACTCTTGCGAGTCAGCGACCTATGTCACTGAGCCATGGGCGACGGCAGCGGACCGCCATGAATGATATCTAACTGCGATATAGCGCGGCTCATCCTCCACTGTCTTGCATGTTATGATGTGCAGAGGACAGGGCTAGCCCCCAGAGCAACGACTTCCTTTGCAAGCCGCCACCAATCGAGGTGGCAATTATGCTGCTAAGGCAACTACTTACTATTTGTAAGTAGCAGGGGGATTTATTAGGTTTTTGTGTGGATTCGTCGCAGTTAGACACAGACAGACGGCCACCACCCATCCAGGAAAGCGCTAGACGGCTGTTTCGTCCTATTGGGACTCAAAAAACCTAATTAACCCCTGCTACTTACAAATAATAAGTAGTCGCCTTAGCAGCATAATTGCCACCTCGATTGGTGGCGGCTTGCAAAGGAAGTCGTTGCTCTGGGGGCCAGCCCTCTTCTCTGCATATCATGACATGCAAGACACTGGAGGATGAGCCGCGCTATATCACAGTTAGATATCAGTCATGGTGGTCCGCTGCCGTCGCCCATGGCTCAGTGACATAAGTCGCTGACTCGCAAGAGTAAGGTCGTGGGTTCGAATCCGGCAGGATTCGGCGGGTGCGCGCTGCTGACGAGTCCCAATAGGACGAAACGGCCGTCTAGCGCTTTCTTGGATGTGTGGTGGCTGTCTGCGTCTAACTGCGACGAAGCTACACAAAAAACAACAGAATTGCACTCGATATCTGCGTAATGAATGGTTGTGAGTGCGAACATCCATCATCATGAGAGACTAGAAACAAGCACCGGAAGAGAAACCGAATCTCGAGAGTTCGGGAATAAACGGAACTACGATGCTAAGTATGCAGCTCGAAAGTGGAGACCATTCAGCATACAGGAACAAGTCAAGATACACAACAATAATCAACGAGAACACAAGGGAGCGGGTGCGAGCAAGTTCAAGGAACCTCGGTAAACAGTAAAAGATCAAAAAGGAGTGGATAAGCGACACACTGCGTAAACGCAGCTCTGCAACGGCCATGATATACGAGGGAAAAGCAATTTTGAGCATGGGCGGGTGTAGTGGCGAGGAGGGTAACGACCACGCGGAGTACTGGAAAACCACTAGAACGAGTGAAGACAAAACAGGCACCTACATCCTGGACGAGATCAGATGGTGCAACACAAGCCCACGGAAAGAGTGGATCGCGAACGACGAACGGCAGCGGGACTGAGCGAAGAAGAATAGAGTGTTTGTCAGAAGACTAATAAAGCAGACAGAAACGCCTTTGTCGGTGCATCCAGGAGTAACCACAAACAGAGTAACGTAACAGCGAACAAGCAAATCAAGAGGCTTAGAACAAGTCCAGCCTGGTCAGAATGCAATTTAAAGAACCGAAGATAAGGGGTCAAACAGGCAATCAAGAGCTAGCAAGTAGGGACGAAACGACACACAAATGCGACAGGTAGTAATTTCCCATACATGGTGTTTTGTGGGACGGAAACATGACCAATATATACGCGCGTGCGTGCGATCATGTGGAAAACCGTGGTCACGTGCACCAAAGACTGTGCTTTCTTGCCACTTCGTTATTGCTACAATGTGGCAACATTTAGTACCAAGCTCGCAGGTTACCTCAACCTAAATACAATAATGACTACATTTATATAGGAAAAATCCCTCGATGAGCTACTTCAAGAGTGACGATACAGAAATCCTTTAACGTTATAATCGATGGGTCTAAGAATGAATCATTCGCATTCTCCTCAGTTTGTCTACACTCTACCCAGGCATTTCGCTAAGCAGCAGTTCAATATCCGTGCGCAGTGGTTGGCAGTTCGGAGTAGTAAGGGGATACATGTCCCAATTCCACGCGATCCAAAGTCATTTCCAATTAACCTAGGGGATGTTAACCGCACCTTTTCAGCATGTGTATAATAATAATGGTAATAAGAATAATGATATGTATATTTCTCCTGATCCGAGACGCTGCCTGTGGCGGCACGTATTAATATGTACTAGATAACCCATGCTTTCGCATGGGGGATAAGCACAAGTACCGTATCGGGGTACGAGATTCATGTAATAGAATTCTGGTGGGTGGTTGAGGCGACAGTCAAAGTTGAGCAACATCTGTATGTATACATATTTGGATCCCCCTTGTAATAGCTCATCAGGGGATTTTTCTCCTATGAATACAGCCATTATTGCTTTCCGGTCGAGGCAACTTGTGAGTTTGTTACTAAATGTTGCCACATTTTCACATGATCTGAGGGTGACTAAAAGTCTATTCCACAGATTGGTATGTCTGACCAAGAAAACGTCGGAGCGCCTGGTTGTTCTGGCCTTTAGTATAAACAGCGTATAATCCTCGTTGCGAAGCTTCGAGCTGAGCTAGGTTACAGCCTGAGTGTAAAAAGATCGGAATAGGTCATTTAGTGTAGCAGATTGTTAAGCGTAAACAAACGAATGGCCATTGCTAACAAACGTTCTCTCTCATAAAAAAATCCGTATTAAACTAGATGATGGACACCAAAGTAATTTCCTTCTATACTGATATACGAATGCAATGACTCTCCGATTCGTGTAAGGAGCTGCTGAAGGCTGTCACCGGACCTATCACGACAGACGATGTGAACAATGGCAGTTCCGTTTTCCCCCCATTCCGAAACGGCTAATCGAAGCGGCCATGAACTAGGTGTTAGTTGCTTATCCTCCTGAATGAGAAAGTGGTATGTTAAGTGTGGTTGCTGCATCCGAGTGATCTATCTCTTCGAACCGGGGAGATTTCCTGTATGCTGATAAAATCCACCGTGCATACAACGCGTGCTTCACAATCCCAAAATGCCAGGTAGTACTGTAAGACAAAACTAGTGTGCTATCGGTTCTCACGGGTAATAAACCGCCACTTGAAGTAGTCACATAAGGTCATTATACCATATCGCTAAGCTAAAATACGGAAGACGTTTCTACAAGCATTAGTAAGGCCCATGTGACCTTCCAAAGCCCGATTTCTGTACATAGGGTGTGGTTAAGTGCAAAAGGTATAAGACGTTGGAGTCTAGCCAGTGCCACCAGATGGATGGATCAGAGGCATGGCTACTGTGTGTCGACGAAAGTAGCTAATCGGTGTTGACCATCAGTGCATGCGAAGCATCGCAGTAATGCGGCGGAGTCACGAGTTCGGCTACGCAGTTTGGGTTTGGACCACAAACTCTTTGATGCTGCAGGTGTCCGTCTACTGAATTTGAACGGCTAGGTAACGTTACTTGCGTGCCTAATGCTTGCTTAATCTAGCGTGCAATCTGTACCAATACCGCACCTCATTGGATGAGACATCAGGGCAAATAGTCAACGTATAACAGCGGCCGAAAGGGCATATCTTATTGATACATGCAATCTCCCCGGTTGGGGATCTCGATTACAGTGGGATGAAGATGGTAATGGCGTCCTTCCACTGATTTGTCCATCATAGTGAGCAGCCGTACAAGGTGTGCGACATTTTAGCACTCCATTTCTCCTGCGCAAATTTGTGTTCTGCTATCATTGTCTCGCATGTTCCCTGCTCCGTCGAGAATTACTATTATCAAAGTGATCCGTGAATTGGGTATGTAGCACCTCAGTGACCGAGCTGTGACTAGCAAACCGCAACACGTAACCTGTGCTCAAATTTGGCGCATCCGGTAAGAGAACATCCGTAGCATGATATTCTAGTTGGATTGGGTGTTACTGAATGAGGCAAATGGACGAATACCAGTGTATGCACATAAAGTGAAACTCACAAATTCTCCATCCGGTTTCGGGACCAGGATGTTCAGCTCCGAGGACTTGGCCATAATGACGTCGGCGAATTTGGATTCAGCGCTTAGATAAATCTGACATCCATCGGTCTTATCCACATTGACGGTCTGTAGCTTCCCCATTGACTGAGCACCAAGTGAGAAGGACAGCAGCGATAAGCGGAGCGCAAGTGTTAAGAAAAGACACATTCAGGCTGATATGGATTATAAACAAATAAACGAAGTTTATTCTCGATAATTGTCGAAGGAAAAACGCAAATAACGGGCGAAAAGTAAACCAGAAAACAGCACAGTCGCTCCATAATGAACTGAGGTGAATCTAAGAGCGAAACACTCACCTGCACTTGCACGCTTTGACAATTCACAACATCCACCGATGCAATGATGTCGTCGAAAACGGCACCCGTCTTTTTACATTTATCTGCAAATCGAAGGCAAGAGTTTGGCGCATGGGATTAGAAAGAAAAATAATTTGATGAAACCGAACAAACACGCACACACAAAAGGGTGAACGAGAGTAAGTGGCGGTGTCGCTCCAAATCAGCATCCCACCATGTTTCTATGAAAAATGGACTACAAAAAGTATACGTTCGGCCTTTAGTTTGTTGCTCTACCTCACAGCCACAAAACCTGCCCAAAATAAAAAGTGCAAAAAGCTAAAAGAAAAGCCATCAAACGAGCAACTGGATGAGAAAGAGGATAGTAGGGAGTAATTCGACTGGCTGCTGAACCGATCAACACTCAATGTGCAGTGAATGATAGTCGCTTTAACCGCGCCCCTCATGATACTAGTATGGAAACCGCACTGAAGTGCGGTGGATCCAGTTGCCACGATTCACATCACAAGAAGATAATAAATAACAACGGAAAGATAGTGGGGTTGAATATAAAGAGAATGTAAAGAAAACAGAGGCAAGAAGGAGGTGCGTTAGAACAATCGGAACGGAACAAGAACTGACAACCAGATGCAAGAACCCGAATGCAGGAAGGCCACCGACGGTCTCCAACCATTGGTGTGGACCATCCGGAGGTCCCCATCCACGAAGACGGCAAGCACCAGCCTGACCAAGTCTCCCAGTCAATTTCTTCATACCTCTATGCCACGTCATGGACTGACCGCCTTGCGGTTCTGCTCGATTTGGTGCATCCACGGCGTATAATGCAAAACGAGGAAGCCGGTTAACAGGCATACGGAGGACAAGACCAAGCTAAAGTAAGCGAAAAAATTTCAGCAAACACTCGAGTGAGTCTTCAGAAGGCTACTTGCCAAAAACCAACTGGCGGACCTCAGCATTGCTTACCCGGTGATCTCCCAGGCGAAAGCGATACTCCCCAAGCATCGGTGACCAAACTAGGCCAATCGTTCAATGTCTTCGCTGCGAACTGACCAGCTCACTGATTCACACAGTAAGACCGGCCTTACCACAGCATTATACACACCCTATCTTTCACTGAAGGGCTGATATCCTGTCGTCTCCATAGACGGTTGAGTCTTTGGAAAGCCACACGAGTTTTGCTGATACGCGAATTAACTACCTCAGTGATGCGATCACCAAAGGTGACGCAGCAACCGAGGTTAGTGGAAGGACCCACCACTTTCAGTGGCTGTTCGGTTATAGCTAGAACCGGAGGTGTGTCGGCCTAGTCTTGCAACAGCACTTTGCAAAGCGCATGCCGAAGCATGCAGCTCTACGCTCCAGTTTTTCAAGTAGTGTTTACCTAGCAAATGCATCCGGCCCTAGAAGAGCTATGTCATCTGAAAACTCTAGATTTGTCATTTGGTAACCAGAAACGATATTCTACTCTGGTAGAGTCCGAAAGAACTGAGTCAGTCATGATCATTTCGATAACAAAGTTGAAGAGAAAAAGAGATTTAGGACAAGCATGGCAAACCCCACTTGTTGTGGGGAACTAAGACGGTTTTCCGTAGACCCTTACACGGCCTCTGGAGCCACGGTAGAGGCTGCACAGTGGCACGAGCTTCATGAATCGGCAGTGGCATAAGCTAACACGGTCAATGGACTTGAAGGCGGTTTTCAAACGAAGGAGGACCATCACAGTTGGCCGTTTATGGGTGTCCGTGCACTAAAACCTAGCGAGGAGTAAATATGTGGTAGAGGCAATCACAACCAAGGTGAAAGCTAAGATGGCATCAGTGATTAGGTTCTCACGAGGACCGGTAAGACACCTGAGAATGATGCCCGTGAGAAGTTTGGAGGCAATGGAAACAAGGCTAATGCCTCGATGATTTCCGCATAAAGTACGCTGACCATTCTTGTAGATGGGCAGACAGTTGACAGTCTGAAGGTACCTCTTCAGCGTTCCAAATCGTGTTAACCAGAGAAGCGAATCCAGTTAACAAAGAGTCACCTCCATCTTCTAGCAAAAATAGAGGAAGGTCTTCGGGTCCAGAAGCCTTGTTTTGTTTCAACACGGAAAGCTCATGTTGAATCTCTTTCGAATTGGGAGGTATGACATCAATTTCCCACATCGGATCAGGTGACTCGGCAAGTGGCTGAGTCGCAGCAGGCCTGGAAAACTGCTCTTCGAAATGTTTCGTCCAACGGACTAGTTTTACTGTTCATGAACTTAGATTGCAAGCTAAACAATCAAAGCGTACGTATCGATGGTGCGGGATACACCAATAAAACGGTTTCAAGACGGGACGGTGGATTGTGTGCGAGCTGATCCATTGGGCATCGCTAGGTAGCAATCACCACGTGTCCTCAGAACTTTTCATGCCACAGTGCCCGAGGAGTAGAACACTGGATAGCAGCAGTCCAACATATTCTATACGGGGGTTCGAAATAAGTAGAACACGAAATGCACATAACAGTCAGAAATGAAGAGGTTTTAAAGCCATGAACCCAGTTCCACTGATGAGATGCAGGCGCAGAAGTTGGGGAGAACATATCTTATTAGATGACTGCACTCGCCTCAAACCGCGCGCCGCCAATCAATGCGGTGGAAACATGTTAAAGAAGCCGGTGGCCACTTCTACTGGTGATTCTAGAATGTAATGTAGTCGTAAACAAGCTGTCCAAAACCTATCAGTTGTTAATGAAGGAGTCGCAGAGTCAGTAAGTAAAAAACCTCAATCGTGTTTAGCATTCCACAACTTTTGTAACAGATGGGGATAGCGGTGAGAAACACGGAAGCGGACTAGCGAAAATTGGTAACCGCATAGTGGCATTTGCACAAGTGACACTGACGTCATCATCCAATTCCCATTTGTCTACTTTATTCTTTCAGGGAGCCCCATTTAACACAGTTTGGTGAGCAGGAGGGCACTGCTAATATTCATTCACATTTACAGGCAAACGATACTGTCTGTTGACTCCTTTCACCTTTCTGATTAGACGACGATAGGAACGCTTGTTCTCATGCTGCATCCTCTTTTAGTTCACGACCGTAAACAGGTCAACAACCTCGCAATCGGTTTCCGGTAAGATGTACGGGCTCAGAGCACCAGATTGGACGATTGAAACCCGTTCGAACTGAACCCAACAACACTGCGTTTAAGTAGAGCATCTGCCAATTTGAAGCAAATACGTTGCCACGTTGCTCCGAACATGGCCAAACAGATAGAAGTTTTGATGGTTTTAACCGTAGGTTCAAACCGCAACTCTCGGTCCTCATCCATAGTGAAACGAGTGATATTTTCAAGAATAGTGAATTAGGATGTAGAGGTTCCTAGACGGGACATCACTTAGATGAACGCCTCGGAGTGTATGCATACTGCATTAACAAAGGTGGTCGAGTAATTGGCTAAGGCACAGATCAACAGCAAAGCTTCCTTGCACAGGCAATCCCATGGTGACACACGGCAGCAACTAAGCAACAGATATATGAGTTAACAATAAATCAATCCGTTATCGGTTATGGTTTTACAAATCAGTCCAAAATTGCTGTTTACTCCTGATCGCTAAACAACGCTCTCGCAATTGGTGGAAATCTCGTGTCCCTAAATAAACGACGTGTGCAACTAGAGAGCGGTGATTCAAATAGGTCACGGCGGTGCGTTGTTTTTGTTCTAAACTAATTCGCCCAGTTTCCAGGAGTTACAACTTCCCGAGCATTCCACTAGGCGTGGATTTTCAGCGAAAGATCAGAAGTTAGCATCCATTCTTATAGCTCCCTTAAGTTTGCTTTAGTGTATTTTACCTTTGGTTCCATTCTCATGCCTGCAGTAAAGACACTCGATAAGGAGAAAAAGTAATACAAGTCAGGATGCTTAAATGTTAATTCAGAAGCTGAAACAACAAATCAAAGCACTCCGCATAGTGGCTGGAAGCAGTAGTAAGGAAAATACCTGGAAGTGTAGGCGCTATGATAAATTCCTGTGAAATTCCTGCTGACCTGAGGACACGTGAAAAATGTCCACCCATGGCTAAAATTTAACATGCTGATCTTTCATTAAAAGTTGACATGCTCATATCTATATTGTAATCTTTGAAGATATAGGTAGAATTTCGTCACATCTAGGCTCACTCAGACAGCCGCCACAAGCCCGGAAAAGCACTGTACGCGCGTTTCATCCTTTCGGGAATCATCAGCAGTGCGCATTCCATCGGACCCTTTGAAGAATCTAGCTGCTTTGTTTGATTCATCATTGAATACTGATAAAATGCACTTTAATAGACAAAATTACGACCGAAGTACACAATCGAGTACCCTGTTCACACAATGCTGTGGTTTTTAATGGGCCGGAGAAGCTATCATTAAAAACTGTTCAGCAAGTGCTTCTCACTGCATGCAGTATGCAATCTTGTTGGTCCAGTTGAATCAAACTACGCGAAAAGATACTACGTTACGCCTGTCCAACACTGTTCCAGTGTGAAAATAAACTAATTGCTAAACAGTTCAGGAGTTGCCAACGTCTGGAAATTGTGGAAGACAAAACCTCGCTGCAATGCGAGAGATTAGGAGGCGACATGCAGAGGTAAACCCAGCTACCAAACAGCCATCTGACGCCCCGGATACAGTTGATAGTGCTCCACTTGGTGGCCACGCTTTTTGCAGACAAGGATGATGTGATGGATAATAAAAGAATTTTTAAAACTCGCAGTGGATCGCATGTATATGCGGACTTCTCTATTGCATTAGATGATGTGTCTTGTAGAAGGCCAAATTCTGGCACTGCGGAGGTAAAATCAACGTCAGGCGAAAAGGTGGTTACTGGAAGACCTCCACCAGGTAAGAGTTTCACGATTAAGCCTGATAAACTGACTAAGCCCAAAACGACTACAATCCAGAGATTGTGCTTCTTCTCGTAAAATCAGTTTTGACAGTCATAGAGATTTCCCGATGCTGTTTCCTGCATGTGAACTGACAAGAATGTGGTTCAGCGAATAAAATCTGCGTTACCCACAAAATCCCAGATCCCAGCAAAACCGCCACCTCAAACTTCGACCTATCATA